ACCAAACTGTGCAGCTCTGCAACTGCATCCTGGCCCATCCTCACCCTTCTGCCCCCAACCCTCACCTCCTTGTACCCCCAATATGTTTTTCCCAATAAAAAAAAATTTAAAAAAAAAAGAGAGAGAAAGGCTTTGGAGGTATTACTTACAGGTATTTTGGAGGAAGAGATGGAGGAAAGTGGCTTAGATAAAATTCCTCATACACACCAGGCAGCTCTCCCCAGCGATCTGATGGCTCTCCCCAGGGGCTGGGTGGCTCTCCCCAGGGACTGGGTGGCTCTCCCCAGGGGCCAGGCAGTTCTCCCCAAGGGTTAGATTGCAATCCTCATGGACCAGGCAGCATTCCCACCCACCAAAGCTCTCCTGAGGTCTGGTCCTTGTGCCCTACTGAAGAACAAGGCCAGGGACAGCACTTCTGGCTCTAGCGCCGCCATCATTGCCCCCTTCTTCTCCACCAAGTGGTCTAATTGTAACTTGAAGTAGGCATTATTACTTTCCCCTTCCACACATGGGGAAGGGGCTTCCAGAATGGTGAACAACCAGCTCAAAGTTGAAAAAGTAATAAAGACAGTAGAACAAGCACTCAAACCAAGATTGTCTGAAGGCAGGCTGTGAGGTGGCAAGCTCCATGTGACATTTGGGTTGGTCGTCTTTCATCATCTTCCTCTGCCAATTTAATTTAGTTCTTGGTAGCCGTAGTCAAGAAATCAAAAGATATGGTACATTGAGGAAATCTGCTGCCAAGGGTCTATCCAAGGAAATCTTCAAAGACAGCAAGATTTTCTGTCCAATCCAGTCCTCCTCCCGCAACTTCATGGCGTCACTGCTTGCCACCTCTTCCCACACTGGGGGCCCATGCCAGCTGTGCGAGGGTTCCATCATGCCAGCTGTGGAGCCCAGCACCTGCCACCCAGCCCACGTGAGCAGATTTCTGGGCTCTGGCCATGGTGGCTCCATGGGGCTGTGGCAGTGCAGGCTCAGTGGTGGATGGCAGGTGCCAGTGAGACTTACTCATGGTTTTACAGGAATCTTTGTCTTCTTAATCTTGAGCTTCAAGCCATAATTGAAGACCAGTAGTTAATTGTTTAATTATTTAGGTATAGATAAACTGTGGGCTGCGGAGGGTCACGGTGGCCCCGTTACAATGGCGCTCAGTGTGCCTCCGGGCTCATGCTGCTTTCCCTGCTGCTGTCATCTAGGTCTCTGCAAATACTTTTAAGAAAAAATAAATATACATATGACAACAATCTTGAACAAGGGATGCATTGCAGGGTAGTCTGGGTAGGGAAAGAAAATGTGCAACAATGAATTTTTGAAACAAACATAAAAAATCCAAAACCTAAATGGTGGCTACATACATGGCTGCAGAAGATCAAAAACTGCAGCCTTCAGTTTGGATTGCATCTCAACATCAAGAAAACAAATAAAGGTCCTCACTACAGGACCAATCGTCAATATTATGACAGATAGAGAAAAGATTGATGCTGTCAATTATTTTTTCTTGCTTGGATCCACAACCAACACACTTGGGACCAGCAGTCAGGAAATCAGGAGACGTATTATATTGGGCAAGTCCACTGTCAAGGACTTCTCCAAAATTATGCCAGTTTGAAGATTAAAGTGTACCTAATTCAAGCCATAGTCTTCTCAATCATCTGCTATGTGTCAAAAAACAATGAATAAGGATGACAGAAAAATTTATGTCTTTGAGTTGTGGTCCTGGGAAAGAGTACTGAATACATGGACTGCTGAGAGAATAGATATGTCTAGGGAAGAGTGCACCTAGAGAGTTCTTTGGAGGCATAAATAGTGAAGCTTTGTCTTTCATACTTTGGATATGTAGCTGGGTGAGGCTATCCTTTGGAAAGGCTGTGCTTGGAAATATGGAAGATCAGTGAAGGAGAGAAAGACCCCAAGAAGCTGGATTGACATGGCACTTCAGCTGTGGGTTTTAGTGTATCAGAGATGACAAGGATGGCACAGGATATGGTAGGGTCATATTGGTTGTTGATAAGGTTGCTATGAGTTATACTCAACAGCACCTAAAAACAATATGTTGCATGTACTGATATACTACATAGGAATAAGATTGACTGTCTGTGGAAAGAGACATTGGAGAAGCTCAATATAAAAAATCAGAACCTTGCTGCATTGTTCATAATAGCAAAGAGATGGAAACAACCCAAGTGCCCATCAACGAATGATAGTGAAACTGTGGTATACACACATAATGGAATGTAGCACTGAAAAACAAGGAACTCATGAAATATTATACAAAATGGGTGACTATGGAGGACATTATGTTGAGTGAAATATCTCAGTCACAAAAGGACAAACAATGTATAATGCCACTGTAATAAAACAGCACTGATATGGGAGTTGGGGAAGAAATAAGAAAAGCGGGGATAAATAATGCACACTGCATTGAAACAGATGAGGGAAAGAACTGTTTAAAATGAATATATGATCGGGTATTTTTTTTATGACAATAGTCCAGAATAAGAACTGCATAGCAAAGAGGGCTGGGGTGGGGCAGAGGAAATTGTGCAACAATTAAAGAATTTGTTTTCAAAGAGAAAGGCAAACTAGGGTGGAAGGTAGGGAGGAAAACGTGCAACAATGAATGAATGGAAATCCAAGTTCTTTATAAACTTTCGTTAAAATAAATAAATAAAGTCAAAACCCGGCCAGGAGCTGACTGTGGAACAGACT